AACCAGCCCTGCAAGTTTTGAGGAGCACTCTGGGTACAGACAGAAACGTCCCCCCCCACCCCAAACCCCCCAAAACACCAAAGCATCAAAGACTAGAAAGGACCAGAGAATCACCAGAAACACCAACTCTGCAGATAACACCATGGCACTAAATTCATATCTTTCAATAATCACTCTGAATGTAAATGGACTAAATGCCCCCATCAAAAGACCTAAGGTATCAGAATGAATAAAAAAGACAAGATCCATCTATATGCTGCCTACAAGAGACTTATTTTAGACCTAAAGACACCTACAGATTGAAAGTGAGGGGATGATGGACTCAAATGAAATGGACATCAAAGGAAAGCCAGAGTAGCCATACTTCTATCAGACAAACTAGATTCTAAAACAAAGATTGTAACAATGTATGAAGAAGGGCGTTATATCATAATTAAGGGGTCTATCCATCAAGAGCAGCCAACAATTGTAAATATTTATGCCCACAATTTGGATACACTCAAATATATAAATCAATAACAAACATAAAGAAACTCATTGATAATAATATAGTAATAGTAGGGGACTTTAACACCCCAGTTACAGCAATGGACAGATCATCATAGCAAGAAAGACTATCAAGTAAACAAAGTTTTTGTTTTTTGTTTCTTTTTATTAAAAAAATTTGTAATGCCTTTTTATTTTTGAGAGAGAGATAGGTAGAGTGCAAGCAGGAAAGGGGCAGAGAGAGAGAGAGAGAGGGAGAGAGAAAGAGAGAGACAGACATAGAATCAGAAGCAGGCTCCAGGCTCTGAGCAGTCAGCACAGAGCCCAATGTGGGGCTTGAACTCATGAACTGCAAGATCATAACCTGAGCCAAAGTGAGATGCCCAACCGACTGAGCCACCCAGGTGCCCCTTGTAAACAATGGCTTTGAATGACACATTAGACCAATGGACTTAATAAACATATTCAGAACATTTCATCCTAAAGCAGAAAACATATTCTTCTCAAGTGCACATGGAACATTCTCCAGAATAGATTACATACTGGGTCACAAAACAGCCCTCAACAAATATAAAAAGATCAAGATCAGATCACAGTACAATGAAACTTGACGTTAACCACAAGAAAAACTTGGAAAGCCCTCAAATACATAGAGGTTAAAAGATGTTCTACTACAGAATGAATGGGTTACCAAGAAATTAAAGAATAGAAAAATATATGGAAGCAAATGGAAATGAAAATATGACAGTCCAAACTCTTTGGGATGCAGCTAAGGCAGTCCTAAAAGGAAAGTATATTTCAATTCAGGCCTATCTCAGGAAGCGAGAAAGGTCTCAAATACACAACATAGTGGAAACTAATTTGACAATAAACTATTTGTAAAAAAAATAAATAAATAAAATAAAATAAAAAAATACACAACATAACCTTACGCCTAAAGGAGCTAGAAAAAAAAGCATATAATGCCTAAAGCCAGAAGAAGAAGGGAATAATAAAGATTACAGCAGAAATAAACAAGATAGAAATAACAACAACAAAAACAGTAGAACAGATTAAAAAAAAAACAAAACAAGAGCTTGGTTCTTTAAAAGAATAAACAAAACTGATAAACCCTTAGCCAGATTTATCAAAAAGAGAAAGGTCCCAAATAGATAAAATCACAAATGAAAGAGGAGATATCACAACAAACATTACAGAAATAAAAATTTAAAAAGAATACTATGAAAAATTATATGCCAACAAACTGGGCAATCTGGAAGAAATGGACAAAATCCTAGAAACTCACAAACTACCAAAACTCAAACAGGAAGAAACAGAATATCTGAAGAAACCCATAACCAGCAAAGAAATTCAAGCGGTCCTTGGGCCAGATGGCTTCCCGGGGGAATTCTACCAGACATTTAAAGATGAGTTAATGTCTATTCTTCTCAAACTGTTCCAAAAAATAGAAATTAAAGGAAAGCTTCCAAACTTTGGCTATGAAGCCAGCATTACCTTGGTTTCAAAACTAAAGACCCCACTAAAAACAAGGAGAATTATAGGCCAATAACCCTGATCAACCTGGATGCAAAAATTCTCAACAAGATACTAGCAAAGTGAATTCAACAGTACATTAAAAGAATTATTCACCATGATCAAGTAGGATTCATTACTGGGCTGCAGGGCTTGTTCCATATTCACAAATCAATCAATGTCATACACCACATTAATAAAAGAACAGATTAGAACCCTATGATCCTGTCAATAGATGCAGAAAAAGCATCTGAAAAAAATACAGCATCCATTCTTGATAAAAACCCTCAACAAAGTAGGGACAGAGAGAAAATACCTCATCACCATCAAGACCATATATCAAAGATTCATAGTTAATATCATCCTCAATAGAGGAAAAACTGAGAGCCTTTCCCTTAAAGTTAGGAACAAAACAAGGATGCCCACTCTCACCATTACTATTTAACATAGTACTGGAAGTCTTAACCTTAGCAATGAGACAACAAAAAGAAATAAAGGGCATACAAATTGGCAAGGAAGAAGTCAGCCTTTCAGTATTTGCAGAAGACATGATACTCTATGTAGAAAACCCAAAAGACTCCACCAAAAAATTGCTGCAACTAATGCTTGAATTCAGCAAAGTTGCAGGATATAAAAACAATGTTCTGAAATCTGTTGCATTTCCATATACCAATAATGAAGCAACAGAAAAAGAAATTAAGGAATTGATTCCATTTGTAATCGCACCAAAAACAAGATAACTAGGAACTACAGAAGATTTATGAAAGAAGTTTAAGAGGACACAAAGAAATGGAGAAACATTCCTTGCTCATGGATTGGAAGAACAAACATTGTTGGAATGTCTATACTACCCAAGGCAATCTACACATTTAATGCAATCCCTATCAAACTATCACCGGCATTCTTTGCAGAGCTAGAATAAATAATCCTAAAATTTGTATGGAACCACAGCAGATCCCAAATAGCCAAAGCAATCCTGAAAAAGAAAAACAAAGCTGGTGGCATCACAATCTGAATTTCAAGCTATATTACAAAGCTGGGGTCATCAAGACATATGGTACTGGCACAAAAATAGACATATAGATCAATGGAACACAATAGAAAACCCAGAAATTGACCCAAAACTATATGGCCAATGAATCTTTGACAAAGCAGGAAGGTATCCAATGGGAAAAATCTTCAACAAATGGTGTTGGGGAAAGTGGACGGCGACACGCAGAATAAAACTGGAACACTTCATTACACCATACACAAAACTAAATTCAAAATCGATGAAAAAGTTAAATGTGAGACAGGAAACCATCCAGAACACAGGCAGCAACCTCTTTGACCTCTGCTGAGCAACTTCTTAGTACACATGTTGCCAAAGGCAAGGGAAACAAAAGCAAACATAAAGTACTGGGACCTCATCAAGATCTTCTCTGCACAGAGAAGGAAACGACTAACAAAACTCAAAAGCAGCCTACAGAATGGGAGGAGATATTTGCAAATGACATATATGATAAAGGGTTAGTATCCAAAATCTATAAAGAACTTATTAAATTCAACACCCCAAAAACAACCAGTTAAGAAATGAGCAGAATTCATGAATAGACACTTTTCCAAAGAAGATATCCAGATGGCCAACAGATACATGAAAAGATGCTGAACATTCCTCATTATCAAGGGAAATACAAATCAAAACCACAATGAGATACCACTTCGTGCTTTTCAGAGTGGCTAAAATTAACAACACAAAAGACAACAGGTGTTAGCAAGGATAAAGAGAAAGGGGAATCCTCTTGCACTGTTGGTGGGAATGCAAACTGGTGCAGCCACTCTGGAGAACAGTATGGAGGTTCCTCAAAAAGTTAAAAATAGAACTACCCTATGATCCAGCAAGTGCACTACTAGGTATATGCCCAAAGGATAGAAAAATACAGACTGAAAGGGGTACATGCATCCCAATGTTTATAGCAGCATTATCAACAATAGCCAAAGTATGGAGAAAGTCCAAACTGATGAGTGGATAAATGTAAATGATGAATCACTGAATTCTATTCTTTTTTTTTTAACGTTTAATTTATTTTTTAGACAGAGAGAGACAGAGCATGAGCTGGGGAGGGGCAGAGAGAGAGAGGGAATCACAGAATCTGAAACAGGCTCCAGGCTCTGAGCTGTCAGCACAGAACCCGATGCGGGGCTCGAACCCAGAGACTGAGAGATCATGACCTGAGCCGAAATCAGACACCCAACCAACTGAGCCACCCAAGTGCCCCACTGAATTCTACTCTTGAAACCAATAGTACACTGTATATTAACTAAATAAAATTTAAATTAGAAAAAGTATAAGGAAAAACTTTTTTTCTTTCTTCTGTGTAAAGGTCTGAAATTTTCCAAGTTTCATAATTATATTGTTGTTCAAAGCACGTCAGTATCCAATGTGTGCTCCTTTATACAAAAACAGCTTTCTTCTGCTATTATTTGTTGAGCCACATTGTAGAAAGATCAAAGTATTCCTAACACCTAGAAACACTGTTTAAAACTCAGCTATGGCTATAGATGGGGCCTCTTACTAGTTCAAAATGGATCATTTTTTTAATCACTATTGCTTAGAAGGAGCATATATTGATCTGTTGCATATTAAATAGTAATGGTACAAACTGCAATATATTATAAGACTATTCTCCAATGACCCAGCCCTTCTAATAAAAATGTCCTTAAATGCTTCTCCCCAGGACAAGGAGGTCTACAGGGAGGTGAAGCATGCTTACTGAAGTCTCTTTCTGTTACAGTTACAGAACCTAAAAACAGCTCAGCTTTGCTATAAACATCCAGCAGGTAGACAAGGCACTCGGGTTTAGATAAAGGTTTTGTGAAATTACTTTCTGAGGCTCAAATGAGTTAGAAAAAAAAACTGTGCAGTGGTCTATGTCACCACCACAGAGCTCTGATGCCCTTCAGGGAGGCTTCTGTATCATAAAAATCCACCACACTCAGGGCAGAAATGATCCATATAATACCTTCAACTGTTCCAAGGCAAAAGATGAACCATCTTGCTGTAAATTTTCAATAATCTCTTCCACAGTATTGGCCGAGAAACAACTACAAAAAAGGAAACACTTGATTTCACCAATCTGCAAGCGATTTCTTCTTTCCAAAATAGCAATGAATCTAAACACAGGCTTTCTCCAAACTGCATTTCAATAATGAAAAAATTTCCAAGGTATTTTACAGGATGATGAAATAAAACATTGCTTCTCTGGGTAAGTGCTTGCAGTCTACTTTTATTAATGCAACATAAAGCCTAATTTTTCTTTTTTGCATCTATTATACATAAATAAATATCTTAACTGTGAAAAACTGATGCTTCTAAAATTAGAGGTAGATATCTTATTTTCCAATAGTTTTTCTCCTCTAATATTCCTTAAGCCAGTTTGTAAATCTCTCAAATCACTGCACAAAACATCTTTTGCTGATCAGCTTCATAAGACCTTTGTAAAAAGGTCTTTACAAAGATAAAAGATAATTCAATTGCTATTTTCCAGCCTCTTTCCCATTAAAAAAAATGTTTTGCACTAAAATGAATCAGCATGATAGTTTCTTTAAGTATAATGGATTTAATCCCCCTGAAACAGTAAGCAAGAAGCTACTTTTAAAAAGTTAAAATAAAAGCACTATGCTATCTAATCTCAGAGTTCAGTGCATTTCCAAACACAATGTAATTATAATGTTTGCAAATTCAACTTAACATAGTCTTTCCAAAAGAATAGATGTACTGAGACCTCTCTTTAAGTACCTGTTTATTTTGTCCATGTGTTCCTCAAGTATAAAAGACTTGCCTTGATCAGTCTTGGACTGTTTGAAAAAAAAAATCTCATGATTAACTTGAAGTAACCCAAATCTTCTAAAAATCCTTTAAAATGCCATCAAATTTAATAATATCCTTTGAGACAGATTATCACTTTCAGTCAAATTATATCCAACAAACTCATAAATATTCAGACTGTATTTTTCCGGACTAGGCCTTAAAAGTGTGAAAGGCAAAATATGTTCTTGTATTTTTATGTAGAATTCATTATATATGCTACATACATCATCAAAATACATCAATGAATGAAGAAGCAAAATATGTTCTTGTATTTTTATGTAGAATTCATTATATATGCTACATCATCATTAAAATATGTCAATGAATGAAGCCTTGAAAGGGACCTGAGAAGTTATCCTGCCCAAATTTCCATTTGGTATGGAAATTCCTATAACATCCCTGTTAATCTCTGTAGCACTGACCTCCAGGGAGAGAAAACAGTACCTCAGGAAGGAACTCACAAGTGATTGAACAATTATAATGAGGAATTTTTTTTTTCTTTAATTCTGGACCAAATTAGTCCCCTTCTGTTTATAGTTCTAGTTAATCCTCCTTCCACCTCTCTTCTCACACAAAAGTTTTGTGTTCTTCACAATTCAGGTGGTTCTTATGCATAAGTTACAGTTTATCACAGTCCTTCTACATTAGCTACAGGTATGACTGAATCATAGCAAAGTATAGCAGAGCTCCAAATATCCTTGTTCGTTTTGGTTACAAACACTTTTACTAATAGGACTAAGTCTCAGTTAGTTTTCTAGCAGTTGTATTATGCTGCTATTTTTTTTTTTAACCAGTGCCATTGTAGGCTACATTTCTCCCAGGCTATACTTTATAAATTTGGTACTCTGGACTGAAATTCAAATTTTTCACTTGCTCTATTGTGATCCTGAGATTCAAAATAAGAAATACAAGGGCAACTGGCTGGCTCAGTCAGTAGAGCATGCAACTCATGATTTTGGATTTGTGGGTTCGAGCCCTATGTTGGGTGCAGAGATTAAACAAAAAATCTTAAAAATATATTAAAAATACATATTTAGTCTTTGCCCATATACTTTTCTTTGTTGCTGGCTCTTAGCTCCCCAAAACCTTGGAATTTCTCCAAGTAGAGTCTCTTTTTGTTATACTCAGTCTTCTGTCCTGGGTTCCTAAAAATTGTTATTCATAACAAGGCCCTTTCAATCACACTAAGGTTCAAGCTAATGAGGTAACTTTTGGAAAAGAAAAGGGCTGGCCTCCAGGGAAACTAACCTGCAATTAATTAATTGGTTGGGTGGGACTGAAAGTCCCTCCCCCACACTACCACCATCTCCCCACTCCTCTCCATCTCCAGTGAGGGAAAAGAGGTTGCAGATTGAGTTCAGTCACCAATGGTGACTACCGTAATAAAGCCTCCATAAAAATCCAATAGTATGGAAAGCTTCCAGGTTAATGGACATATCCCCAAGTGGAGAGAGTGGCACACCCCAACTTCACTGGGACAGAAGCTCCTCGGCTGGAGACCCTTCTAGACCTTCCTCTATGTACCCTTTACTGTACTATTCACTCATCTTTTATTGTATCCTTTATAATAAACCAAAAAACATTAAGTGTTTCCCTAAGTCCTGTGAGAAACTCTAGCAAATGATCAAACCCAAAAAATGGATCATGAGAACCCCAATTTATGGCCAGTCAGTCAGAAGTGACTGGCATCTGAAATGGGGTCAGTTTTGTGGGACTGAGATCTTAGGGTATGGGATCTGATACTGACTCCAGGTACACAGAGTTAGGATTGAAACTAATTATAGGACACCCAGCTGGTGTTGTAGAGAACTGCTTGATGAGGGCTCACATATCTGGTGTCAAAAGTGTTATGAATGTGGTAGTAGTGGGAGAGTAAAGGGAAACACAGGGAGTGACTTTCCCATACATCTATTACCTTTCACTCTAAATTTGAAGGGTTTTTAAAATCCATCTTCTTTTACCTAATTTTTTTTCTGTTTCAAATCAAAATGATCAAAATGCTGTCAACATTCTCATCCAAATCACTGAGAAAAAAAAAAAACAACAACTGAAAAAGGCCAAGATGACTCTATTTATAGACTAATACCCTCAAATTTAACAGAACTGCTTGGTAAGGCCCCTCAACTCCCACACACTATAATCTAGACTATATTTACCCAACATGAGAGACTGTCAAATGCTTTGACAAAAATCTGGTGAAATCCTCATGTGCTCTCTGTTCACAGTCATCGCACTGAGGCTGTCGATCCATATTCATGTTCTTGAGTTCTGAATAAAATTTTTATACTATTTTCCTAAAGGTTTCCTCCCCTCTCACTTCTCTGTTATGAATTCCTAATAATTAGATATTAGACCTCCTGGAATAATACCTCTAATCTTCCTTTCCCTTCATTTTCCTTGTTATTATCCTTCCTGTCTTCTTACAGTTTTCCTCAACCTTCAATTTTAATCTAATCTGTTGTGGGAGTTTTTCCCTTTATATAAATCACATTTATAAATAAAATCACATTTCTTTTTTATTCTTTGACTACTTTATTTCTTTTATTTTTTTAATATTTATTTTTGAGAGAGAGTGAGAGAGAGAGAGCACGCACGTGAATGCAAGCATAAGTGGGGGAGGGGCACAGAGAGGGAGATAGAATCCGAAGTAGGCTCCAGGCTCTGAGTGGCCAGCACAGAGTCTGATGAGGGGTTCTAACTCACAAACCCCGAGATCATGACCTGCTCAACCAACTGAGCCACCCAAGCGTCCCTGACTACTTTACATTATAACCGCTGTTCTTATTTCAAAGATGAAATATTTTCCTCTTATCAGAACCTTAATAGTTATAACAATTATAGTCTTTCTTCCTTTCCTTCTTCCCTCTTTCTCTTTCTTTCTTCTCCCTGTACAATCTGCTTGTTTCAAGTACCTTCTTTATTTTTATACTTGCCATAAAAAATTTTAATGTGAAGTATTAAAATTAAGTAGCTTTATGTGTAAAGTCAATCGCAGTTATAGGATTATCAATTGTCTGATGCATTATAGATATTAGGCAAAGACCTGGATGTTTTGTGGTGGGGGGCAGTCATCAAGTGGCACCATCTATAGGTTTTTTTCTTTTTCTTCAAATGTACTGCTTGGAAGTGCGATGGTGCCATTGATTGAATGTTTGTGTCACCCCAAAAGTCATGCTGAAACTTTAATCCCCAAAGTGATGGTATTTGGAGGTGTTGTCTTTAGGAGGTAATTGGTCAAGAGGGTGGAGCCTTCCTGAGGGGATTAGCGTCCTTATAAGAGGAGACATGAGAGAGCTCACTTTGCTGTGTGAGGACACAGCAAGAAGGTGTCCATCTGCAAACCAGGAAGAGGGTCCTCACCAAGAATCTAACTGTCTGACACCAAGTCTTTGGAATTCCCAGCCTCCAGAACTGTAAGATATAGGTTTCTACTGGTTAAGCCATCCAGCCTATGGTATTTTCATTGTAGCTGCCCAAACTAAGATAGAGGATATTTAATAGTCTGGAAACTAATTAGAAAAAGAGGCTAGGAGTATTCCCAATCAGTATGTCCTGCCTCTTTTTTTTAGTAAACCCCTTACCTGCTCCTCTCCCTTCAGTAAGCAACGTCTGTTTGACCTGATCTAAGGAGGAAATTTCTACTCTTCGGCCAGGCTATGAAAGATTAGTTGCTGCTACAGAAGGAAGACTTCTGGAGGCCTAACTGCTCTTTATAAAGATTTGCAGGGATCCTCTTGTTTTTTTCTCTCCATCTCCAAACCCCAGTCTTCAGAGGACTCTGGTACCTCACAGAGCGTATACAGCAAGAACTGGCTTGCTTCTGACTGCCTTCTCCCACTGAAAGATGAGATTTCAGTTTTCTAAAAATCTAAGGTAGCTACTCTCATCCTTCTGTTTTCAGACTTTTAAAATATTGACATCTCACACCTGCCACTTTCTCCTTTTCTGTTCTATTTATTTTTGTGGATTTGTGCCTTTTTTATTCCTTTCTTAGAATTAAGTGGGGTTTTAGAAGGGAGCATGTATTCAATCCATCATGTTTAATAAAAAGTCATATCATATTTTTATAGAGTTTGGTTCTCAAAAGAAAATTTAAGTTAAACAACCTAAGTAAGGAATTAAAGGTGACACTGCAATATATTTTATTACTCTATTTAGATTTGCACCAGGGTTTCACTTTAGCAGCTCAACAGGGTCAACACCAAACAAGCCATTACAGACGTGTCACAGTGCACCATAAAAAGCCCTTGCAAGGGCCAATCACAAGGTTATGCACTGATATTCACCAACAATGAGAAGATAAGCTGTAGAGTTGTGGGGCAAAGAAGTCGTCTTCTCGGATGGCTATCCTAACAACTGTGAAGCAGTGATCCTTCCACCAAGCTTTAAAGTAAATAAATCTCAGCATATTTTTATCCACCATTTAATATTCACCAACTGCTAATTGTTCAATCACTCCCTCTTCCCCATGAATTAAAATCTGAGGTTAGAGTACTGAAAGATTACCTTTGTGTGGTAAGCTTCTAAGACATCTGTAACATTTTCTTTTGAAGGCGATTTTAGGGCTAACAAATCTTCTTCTAACATGTCCAACTAAAGGAGAAACAAAAAGAAAACATATTTGAAACCCAATAGAAACTGACTTTTAAAAGAAACTTTATATTGTTTTTAAAAATACTTGTCTTAAAATTATGATGTGCTCCTTACGCTGAATCAGCGAAGGAAATTTTCTCTGAAGTTGAATGCACACACATTCCCACATGGCAAATGCCTTGCAAGGAATTGGACAAAGATGGAAGAAAATAAAGAGAGACATTCACCTTTGTTTCTCTCTGGCTATTAGATACTTGAAAGGTAGTACTGCAACCAAAGATCCAAATTACAAATTTTATTTTAACTAAAATTGCCGCATGTGACTAATGGCTACTATGGTCAATGCACAGCTGTACCACACAGTCACACTTAACTCTCCATCTATGTCCCTCACATACCTGTTCTAAGCTCAGCAAATGGGACTTTTTATTGTTTCCAAAACATACCAAATGCTTTCCTGCCCATAAGCCTACTCATTACATGTTTTCTCATTCCGGGATACTTTTTTTTGACATCTTAAGGCTTAGCTGAACTGCAACCCCTGTGAGAAAACTTCTAGTCCCTTCTTGTAAATTTTCCCTCCTTTCAATCCATTGAGTATTTTCTCTGTATTCTTTGTTTACATTACTCATATTTTTCTCTATCAGGTGAAACAGTTATTTCTTTTGTATCCACCTCTAGTCTCATCCCCAACGTGCATTACACATTTCTGTTATCCTGTACAGTCCCCATGAATTGCTGGCTACACACTGAAGAAATTATTACTGGGGAAGCTGACAGAGAAGGGAATAGGTTGTGGATCAGCACTGTCTCCCATCCTTAACTAAACTCCACTCTACCAAGGGTGTCCCTCCAGAGTAGATAATGGAGTCCCATGTTGACTTCCTGTTACACCTCAGGAGAAGAACGGGACAACCACCTGCTTAATGTGACTGTGGATGTCCAAAACATGGAGGAAGATTTGAAACTTCAAGCAAATGTGATAGAAGGCCCTCCTAATAGTGTACAGGAAACAATTTTCAACTTTGTGTACTTTATGCTTTTTTATAACATTCCTTTTCCTATCCCCAAACATCTCTCCCTCAAGATGAGATTTTCATTTGGTGACCTATGTGCATACTAGAAAGCTTAATTCACCCCATACTTCCAGAAATGAAACATGTTAATGGAGCACATTAGCAAGGTGGGCTAGTTGATATAGGCTAACCCACTTTCAGGTTCAAGGGTGAACTGGTTTATACCAGTTCAATGAGAGTGAGCTAAGTCAGTTGAAGCAGAATAAATTCCAAATCTCTTACCGGAAATTCTGAGGCAAAACCACGTTGAATTGGATTTTCTCTTACATTTACCACAGAGAGATTCAACTACTATGGTAGAAACTGCCATCTCATTTGGAAATGAGAAAACTGGGTGATAAAGAGGCAAAATTCAAGCTAGGATTTAAACCCAAACTATCTGCAGTTCTTTGCCACTATGCTATCCTGTGCTAAGAAAATTGGCCACACTATTAAAAAAGACAAAGATAACCAACATGTGTCCCTTGCAACACATAACTTTCAGAAAAGTTTTTAAGACTCTTTTATAAATGGAACTCTCAAATGCACTGGTAAGGAAACTCACAACTAAGAAGACCTTTCAAAAAAATGTTTTTATAGGGGTGCCTGGGTGGCTTAGTTGGTTGAGCGTCCAACTTGGGCTCAGGTCATGATCTCATGGTTTGTGAGTTTGAACCCCGCATAGGGCTCTGTGCTGACAGCTCGGAGCCTGGAGCTTGCTTCAGATTCTGTATACCCCTCGCTCTCAGCCCCTTCCCCCCAGTGCTCTGTCTCTCTCTCTCAAAAATAAATAAGCATTAAAAAAAATTTAACAAAACAAAAATGTTTTTATAAAGCCGATCTTTTTATATATAAATTTAAATCTTTACATATTAGGTTTTCTTAAAGAAGGTTTTTTTAACCAAAGTGTAATTAATTATTCATTAAAAATTAGGGACTGATGGTGCCAGGCAAATGAGCCCCAAATCCATATATAATTCCCTCCAATTTGCACATGAGGAAACATGATTGGAGAGCTTAAATACTTTCTCAAAGGTCTCACAGCTTTAAGCAGCAGATCCTGGATTCAGACCCATGTCTAACCAAATGCCTGTGATCTCAACCACTCATAATGTCTCCCTGTTCAATAGGAATTATTCCAACACAAAATGCAATCATCCAAGTAATTACCTTTTCAGAATCCACAAAATGTGTTGCAATTCCTGCCTTATACACATCTCTTCCTTTCAGTCTGAATCCTGTTAATGCAAGGAAGTAACCAAGTTTTCCTTGAAGTCGTGGCAAGAAATAACCTCCACCCACATCAGGAAATAGTCCTGTAATAATGGAAAGAGATGTCGACTCCAATGAAAAAGATGAATATAACTCTTTGAGATCAGATGGCCATCTCTCTCTGGAATATGAATCTATACTAAAAATATTACTAAAACAAGTACTATCCAATACAATCAAAATCACAAAAGATTTGCTATTAAATTGTGCTAACTTGAGTTTTTTTCAAAATTTTCACATCTCATTTCTATATAAGTCAAAGTATTTGACAGCATAAGTTTCTATATAGGAGTAGTACTCAATAAATATTACCTAAAATTTCCTATTCTTAATAATCTCTGAAATAGTAAAAACTGAAAGAATACTTCCTTTCCAAATGATAAGCAAAGGAAAAATATGCATAATCCAATATTATGAAAATATCATTCATTATTCATTCAAACTCATTATTATCATTTAAGTCACAGTCTATTCCATTAGTCAATGATCTAATATTCAAGATATTTAAAGTGATGCCATAACCTTTAGTACTGTGAAGAATAAGTTTACACCTAATAAAATCACTTGCATTTACTCTTTTCTTAGCCTTTTTTTTTTTTTAATTGCCTTATTCTCTCTATTGGCAACAACTGAAAATAGTATATATGCAAATACTTGCCAGTACTGTTTGGTATTTAAGAGCTCCTTAAATAATTGTGGCCCTCTAGTTTTATAATCCACATATCTATTCTAAGACTGCTTCATTAACTCAAATTGAGATTAAAACACATGCATTCAAATTCTTCCTAATTCTACTTGACAAAAAGTTTCTAGACTTGAAAGAATTACCATCATACTCTAATTATCTCTTAGCATCTCAAATAAAAGTGGTCTAAAGTTGAATTCATGAGTTCCGCCAACTACCATCATCTCCCATCATCTCCCTTCCAGTATCACTCACCTCAATAAAGTGCACAGCCTTCCAGCCTGGACACCTTCTTCTAGTAACCACCATTTTAATGCCCACTAGTGACTATGATCTACTGATTCCTCCTCCAGAAAGTTCTCCATACAATAGCCAGAGTGATCTTTTTAAACACTTTTTAATATTTATTTATTTTTGAGAGAGAGAGAGAGAGAGAGACAGAGTGTAAGCAGGGACAGTGCACTGGGTAACTCAACTGGTAAAGCAGCTGACTCTTGTTTTTGTCTCAAGTCATGATCTCACAGTTCATGAATTTGAGCCCCAAACAGGGCTCCGCTTGGGATTCTCTCTCTCCCCCTCTCTGCCCCTCCCCTGTAGGTACATGTGCTCTCTCTCTCTCTCTCTCTCTCAAAATAAATAAACTTAAAAAAAATTACAAGGCATCTAAAAAAGCAGCAATTACTACCCATAGTGGGGTGATAAAGCAATCCAAATTGATGCAGAATTGACATAAACATAAGAATTAGCAAACAAGAACATTAACAGAGAATAAGTATACCTTATATGTTCAAAAAGTTAAGTAGAAGCATGGAAGATATAAAAAAGACTTAAATGATACTTCTAGAGATAAAAACTAAGATGAATGTATAAATAAAAATACTTAAATGGGATTAAGACAGATTATACCTTGTAAAAGATAAATGAAATTGAAGACACAGAAATAAAAACTATTTAAATGAGAGGTGCCTGGGTGGCTTAGTCGGTTAAGCGTCCGACTTTCGCTTAGGTCATGATCTCGCGGTTCGTGGGTTCGAGCCCCGCGTCGGGCTCTGTGCTGACTGCCAGCTCAGAGCCTGGAGCCTGTTTCAGTCTGTGACTCCCTCTCTCTCTGACCTTCCCCTGTTCACGCTGTCTCTCTCTCTCTCTCCTAGAAATAAATAAAACATTAAAAAAAAAAAATTTAAAACTATTTAAATGAAAAAATGAAAGCTTTTAAAAATGAACAATGCATGAATGAGTTTAATATAAGTTTAAATGGAGTTCCTGTAAAGGGAGTGGGGGAAAGAAAAATATTTGAAGAAATAAAATCGCATTTGGAAAATTCAACAAAAATTGTAAATCTAAGCTCAAGAAACAGAAACATAAGATGAAAAATATACCACGGCACATTATAATCATAGCTCCAAACAAATAATAAGTAGAAAATCTTAAGAGCAGCCAGAGATACTAAAAGCACACTTACAGAGGAACAAAGATGAAGAGAGATTTCTCATAGGAAACATAAACAAGACAACAGCGCAACAACATCTCTAAAGTACTGAAATTTAAAAATCAGAATAGAATAAAATTGTATATCCAGGAGTCAAATCACTGGCCCCAGCTTTCACCTTAGGGGATTAGAGAAAGAAGAAGAGATGAAACCCAAATGAGTAAAAGAAAGAAAACAGAATAAGAGCAGAAAACGATAAAATAGAAAATGAAAAAACATGATTTATGAGATCAATAAATAAACCTCTCATTAGAATGATCAGGAAAAGGGGCGCCTGGGTGGCTTAGTTGGTTAAGCGTCCGACTTTCGCTTAGGTCATGATCTCGCGGTTCATGGGTTCGAGCCCCGAACCTGGAGCCTCTTTCGGAGTCTATGTCTCCCTCTCTCTCTGACCCTCCCCTGCTCACGCTGTCTCTCTCTCTCTCTCCTAGAAATAAATAAAAAATATTTAAAAAAAAAAAAGAAAAAAAGAATGATCAGGAAAAAAATGAGAAGACACAAATTACTAATATCAACAGTGAGACAGGTACCACTATAGATTCTACAAAATACTAAAAAGGTAAGGAAATATTATGAAAAACCTTATGTTCATAAATTGGGCAAATTACTTAAATTCTAAAGCTTTTGCAAGAAATTGATAATCTGAATAGCCATACATCTATTAAAAACTTTGAAATTGTAGTTTAAAATCTTCCCGCAAAGAAAACTTTAGGCCTAGAGAGCTTCACTGATGAATTCTACCAAACATAGAAAAAATTATACTAATTCTACTTAAACTCCTCCAGAAAATGAGGCCAGCATTACCTTCATACCAAAACTAAACAAGGACATTACAAGAAAACCACAGATCAATGTCTTTCATGAACATAGATGTCTTTTAAGAACAAGGCAAGAATACCCACACTCAACACTTCTAGTCAACAATGCATTGGAGGTTCTGTCCAGTGTAATAAGGCAAAAAAACAAACAAATAAATACTATCCAGACTGGAGAGGAAACTGTAAAACTGACTTTATTTGTAAATGGTCTAATTATTTATACAAAAATATCTAACACAGCCTACAAAAAAAATCTACTAGAAATAATAAGTGAGGTTAGCAAGTTTGCAGAACACAAAGTCAATACAGAATCAATTGTATTTCAGATGGAAGTCCAAGATGGTGGCTTAGGAAGAACCTGAATTTACCCTCTTCCACAGACATACCAGGTCTAAATCCAAAAATAGAGCAGTTCTTGCAGAAAAAGAACTGAGAACTGAATGAACAGCTTCTGCACACACACACACACACACACAAATGATAGGGGGAACCACATAAATAACAGTAGGAGAGAGAGAGACACAGTCACCACAGGAACACCACTCCCAATGTGATAACTTGAAGAAAGAAGGGATATCACTGAGGGGCCCCTGCATAGAGTCCCTGACACTGGGCACAGCAAAACAAAACAAAAAAACACAGCTATTCATCCGCTTATTAACTCTAGGGCATCCACCAAATAGGCAGGGAACTGCTGGAACTCTCTGGAGTCAGGGGTGCCAGCAAGCACCATATTTTACATGGCCCCTCCAGCTTTATAGTCCAGATGGGAGCATGGTCCAGGCGCTCTAGTCAACCTAGGAGGGCTGCGCTAGCAAGTCCCAGGTTCCTAGCCCACAACAATTCCAGCTGTCCCCTAAAGGTGCCCGCTGCACTCCCAGCTGTCCTGCCAAGGTAACCCCAGAGCAGCACACTCCTGGCCCATGCCTGCTCCAGCTCCAAATAGCCAAAGCTGCCAGGAATACAAGTCTACACAGAGGATGCTCCTAACTCATGGCCACTCTTTCAAGACTAAGAGATGGAGGTAGCTATTCTAATTCACAGGACAGACAGACACACACACACACACACACACACACAGTCAAACAAAAGGAGGAGACACAGGAGTATGTTCCAGACAAAAGAAGATAAAAACCTAGGGTGGGGGAGGAAACAAAGATAAGTAATTTACCTGATAAAGAGTTCAAAGTAATGGTCATAAAGATGCTCAATGAACTCAAGAATGAACAAACTTCAACACAGAGTTAGAAAATATAGGAACCAAAGCTAAGAATAACGAAAATGATATAGAACAGATCAACATCTGGCAGACAGAGTAGAAATTACCTAATCAGAACAGCAAAAAGAAAAAAAGAATAGAAGGAGAAGAGAGAGAAAGGGGTAGAAAATTTATTTGAGGAATTAATGGCTGAAAACTTCCCTAACCTTGGGAAAGAAACAGACATCCAGGTCCAAGAGTCAAAGAATCCCAAACAAGGTCAACTTAAAGAGACTCAGACCAAGACATTGTAATTAAAAATAGCAGAAGTTGGGGTTACTGGGTGGTTTAGTCAGTTATCACTACCTAATTTCTATATAAAGCAACAATAATTAAGACAGTGTAGGGGCACCTGAGTGGTTCAGTTGGTTGAGTGCTGACTCTTGATTGTGGCTCAGGTCATGATCCTAGGGTGGTAGAATTAAGCCCAGAGTCAGACTCTGGGCTGAGTATGGAGCCTGCTTAAGATACTCTCTCCCTTTCCCCTGCTCACATGCATATATGCTAATTAAAAGAGAGAGAGAGAGACAGTGTAGTGTTCTCTATTCCAATAGAATACATATAAAGATACAAAAGCTATCAGTGGAGAAACAATAGCTTTTTCAAAATGTAGTGTGTATGACTATATATGCAAAATAATAAAATTTGATCTATACCTTTTATCCATATTTCATAGCATGTATACAAATTTCAAAAAGGATCATAGATATGAATATAAAGACAATTTTCCCTAGTAATCTTTCACCTAAAATTAACTAGAATTTGTTAGTGTTGCCAGTTAAATATTCTTGTTTGTGTGTTTTCAGATACAATTACTGAGCTAATACAATTTCCAGGTATCTTCTTATTCCAATTTCTTAAAGAGTTCTTTCATTGCTGTATCTCAGCAAAATTCCATCAATTCCTTTAGCAGCAGCATAATCTGAAATATATCAAAAGATAATTCTAAAAGTGATTATGAAATATTTTACCGATTGCTGTTTCTGGCATCGCAAAGAGAGACTTTTCAGTAGCCACTCGGAATTGCCCATGAACTGAGAGACCAACTCCCTAGGAAAAGAAGGCAAAAAGTTGTTTTAAATGCTGGCAAAAAACAAAGGCATATACACACAAACATTTTAAACCAAGTATATTTTCTTTATATTCCACAAGAATTTCTTTTAGGAGATACACTAGAGGAAAACCCTAAAACACAGAATTTTGGGAGAATTTACTAGACAAAAAACATATGGGTATCCCTGATATCTGGAATAGATTTGTTTTAGCTAAGATGTTTTCAATCAGTGTTTTGTGCTATGTTTCATGTCCTCTTCCCACATTCCCTCTCATTGCAAACCAGATACCGCATTATACAACAGTGACTCTTCCCACAACCACCGGGTGTTGCTGTTGGCAGGAGCAGTCATCAGAGCAGCATGACCAGGCTATTCTAGCTAATTTGTAGCTTTAAAAAGAATTTTAAAACATTCTATTTAGTCACCTATTTCACTGTTTCATTTATTGTGTATTTCAGAATATTCGCCACATTTTTATCAGATACAACATTTAGCAGGGCCAACTATACAACTCTTAAAAACAGATTATTGAACACAAGTTTTAGAAAATAAGATGTGGCCAAAAGTATCTCTGATTTGTTGAATGTCACTGGAAAGGGCAAACTTTTAATAGTCATCTTTGAATAGACATATTTGGAAAAAAAACATATTTGAATCCAATGAAATAAGAAGTATACGTGTGATGACAAAGTATCCAGTTCATTTCAGTGCTCACACTACAACACATATTTCCTATGTTATGTTCTTTTTACATTATTCAGAATTTCTGTTCAATTGTTCTAGTTCTTCTCATTATTGGTTCTTTTTAACCAGTGTATCGTTCATCATCACAGTACTCAAGGAGTTAAAACATATAAAGTATTTGGAACAATGTCAGGCACTTAAGAGTTCTGTAAGCATTAACTAAAGGGCGTCATCTCTATTTGGTTCTTCTAATCTTACATTACAGTTTCCTCAACTCTTTCAAGTGTTTTCATACTCATTTTTAAGAAAGAAAACACTCAAAACACATGCAATTTCTTATAAATTTGTGTTCTATATGCTAAGATTAAATTTTAGAAAACCATGGAAGTTAATAGAATTTTTCAACTACCACCTACATCTTTGGGTGTCAACATTTATAAGTTATATGCACAATGTCTGATACTCTTTTTATAGGCAAATATCACTGTGATAGGTATTCCATCATGACATAGTCAACTGACAATACTGACCCAAATTCAATTGTATATATTCTAAGATCATGATCTTACAAACTAAATGAAAAGAGAGCATTCCTAGTTTCATTAATAATTTATTATACTATTTTAAAAGCTCTTACTTCATATTCTACTCCCTACTTCGGTTTATCACACTGCAAATTAAAGTTATTAGTGTTCAGGAATGTCTTGCTAAGAACTTAAGAGTTGGACTGCACTGCCAGTTTATGGACTTTGTTCTTTTGAGTCCTTGGGCTGCATAAACTGCCTCCCTCTGGGGCTACACAGTAGGTAGATCTCCAGGTCTCACTGACTGACCCTACTTCAAACCATACTCCTCTGGTTATTGCCTCCTACCTCTTTTAATTAACCCTGAATTCCACAAATACCAATGACTATATCCCGCTTTATCAAATATTTACGTATAAAGGTAAAATCTGACTGTAACCCCAATCCTAGTCTCCTCTTTCTTTCCAGAGAAAATTAATTTGATATGTAACCCTTCAGATATTTTTCCCTGTGTATCTCTAACACATATTTGAGCAAACATGGATATTTATATGAGACATACACACTTCAAACTCTGTTCCATGGCATGCAAGGTATACGTATTACGGCCCAGCTCACCTCAGACCTCATCTCCCACCACTCTTGCCGTGCTGACTCCATCAGCCACAGGACCTTCATGCCATTCCTCCAAAATTCCAAGCCTTTACAATTTCAGTGAATCATATAATTTTAAAGTGAGGAAAACATACTAAAGAAAGCTACTACCTGCACCACTGCTGCCCTTTCTCTATGGAAAACTTCTCTGCCCAGAGAGTTTGCCCTTCCCTGAGGAATGGCTGACCCCAAATTGAGGCTAACCAGAACTGTAAGGGCAGTGAGCAAATGGAGAAAAAGCAAAGTGCATTAGACAAGATTCCCACTGTCAGGTATTTAAACTAAAACATGGTGGGTGGCTGTGAGTTGATGACAGCCAAAGCTTAAAGGTCATTTGAAATTTGAGCCAAAGACATGAGAGCCTAGTTAAAGCAGAAATTATATAGGGTGATGACAAATAAACAGAGAAGGCTGCATGTAGCCTGTACAGCACAGAGAACAAAGCAAACATACAAAAAGCAATGGAGATAGTTGGAGAAAAAATGACAGACATACTACTTAAATTTGCCTCAAGTCCACACTTACAGTTCAATTTTTAGGGAGGCAAGCTACGCTACATTTTTGTCTATGGATTCCCATTTAATCCCTGCGCTTGTCTAATAACTGCTCTATTCTTTTTTTTGCATGTTTCACTAAGTCCATGTTCTTTTCAATTAAAAAATGTCTCTGACCACATTTTCAATTAGAACCAGATCTACATCCTGTCAAGCTTCAGCATAACACAGTATTAGCTGCCCTGTGTACTTTTTCCTGCCCTGTTATGCTCATCCTTGACTAGTCATTCCCATTATATCTCCTGAAATCCTCCTTGCTTGGCCAGAGAACCACCTAACAGTTCAACTTCTCTATAAAGGGACTTATCTACCTCCTGAAATCAATAGAAAGAAATTTATGAGCCCAATATTCTTTGATATAAACAGTACAGATCCTATACTCACTGATTCAGTGCTTTATCTTTTTATTACATAATACATTGTCTCATCCATAGCTGAAAAAATGAATGAAATCAAAGACTTCAAGATGTTACAAAGAATTTATTAATGACAAGCTTTCATATTAAGAGACCCTTGACATTAGGTACCATTAAGAGCCAATTTTAAAAGCTTTTCAATTAAGAGGAAGGCTGGGAAAATGCAAGCCACCTCACTTGGAGATACTACAAATATAAATGCTGATCAGTGTTGAAAGGGATATAGCAACTTCATGGAGATTCATATCTAAATTTTGCATCTTATATAAAAGAATCCAGTATAAGATTTTTACAATTAAGTCCCTCCTCAAATCTTCAAAAATTTACTCTTGAATACTTTTTAACCATTAACTTTAGCCAGTACTCCTTTGCTGGACTTAAAAAGGCTTCAAAATCTTCAAATTTCATTGTGTTAATTGTTACACTGTATAGATTCATTCCCCAAATGAAAGATATCATTCTTATTTCTGACTCTCCTCGAATAGTCCCCCTGCATCCTATCAAACCCACTAGTCAAATCTCATTTCATCTAACTGGATTATGACTGAAGCATTTGGCAGGGTTGCTTAGTCCCCACTTGACTTTGAGATATGGTCACAATGATCAGGTGTCTTCCTTCTGTTTCACTTCATCTGCACTCTGTGCTTTCTACATTTGCTTCCTAGGTGATCTCTTCCAAGAGCCCAAGGAATTTAAGCACCATAACACTAATGACTTAAATCATTTTCCCATCCTGATTTCTCTAGAATTTCACATCTAGCCACCTATTTAACATCTTCACTTGAACATCTAGTATTTTTCTCAATGTTCATACATCAGAAGTAAATCCCTTGAGGTCTCCTTAAATGGGTGGCTTCCTCAGTAAATAGCACCACCATTCATCCACCCATCTGGTCAGGCCAAAAACCTCAGCAGCATCCTCTTTCTTTCTGATTTCCCATTCTAATCTATAAACCTGTCTAGACAGCTCTTATTTCAACATCTACTTTGGATCAAGCCACTGTTCATATATCCACTGTAACAGCCCGAGTTGAAGTCACTACTATCTCTGCCTGGGCTAGACACCCAGGCTTCTGTTCTTGCCACAATCTATTCTCTATCCAGCGGCCGAGGAAGCTTATTAAATGTAAATGGGTTAAAGTTGTCTCCTGCCCAAAATTCTCCAGTGACTTCTCATCACAATAAGGTTATTACCAAAATTCTTCCTCATGGCCAATAAGGCTCTATGTGATTTGGTCCCTTTCTAGCTCCCTCATTTTCATTCAGGTCAGGCACATTGGTGTGTTTTTTTTTGTTTGTTTTTTTAACTTTCTTGACATAGAATATACACTCAAAAGAATACAAATAGTAACAAATGATAAGTATACAGGTCCAGTGAATTATCCCAAAGTGGACACACCCATGTAACAAAAAAGCAGATAAAATTTATCAGAAATTATTTTGTGCACTCTGTCACTCATTATTCCCTCCATCCTTCATGCAACTACTATCCTTACTTTCAACATAAGATTTATATTTTCTGGTTTTATCTTGGTATAAATGGAATCATAGAGTACATATTAATTATCCTTCAGTCAACATTATGTGAGATTCATGTTGTGGGCAGAAATTTTTTTTCATTGTACAGCAGTCCTTTGTAAAATAAATAATTTATTGATCTATTCTACTATAAATAGCTAGTTAGGTTTTCTAGTTTGGGATTATTGCAAGCAATGATTCAATGACCATTCTTATGCATATCTTTTGGCGCATAAGTGCATACAATTTGATGCGGTATATATACCAAGGAGTGAAACTACTAGGTCAAAGGATACTAATTCAGTCAATTTTTAAAAAATAACAACTTTAAGGGTATGTGGGTGGCTCAGTGGTTAAGTGTCCAGCTTCAGCTCAGGTCATGATCTCACGGTCCTTGGGTTTGAGCCCCGCACGGGGCTCTGTGTCCCCTTCTCTCTGCTCCTCCCCAACTCACATTCTGTCTCTCTCAAGACTAAAATTTTTAAATAAAAATTTTCCAAAGCATTAGTCCCAACTTTGTATTCCACCAGCAATATGAATTTGTTATTTCCCATCCTCACCAATATTTGAATTTGTCTTTCATAATTTCAGCCATTTTAACAAGTATATGGTAATATTTCATTTGATTGCAATTTGCATTTCCTT